CAACCTAGGTCTAAGATAAAAGGTCTAAAGCAGTTCCAAAATAGCTCATTCTTTTGGTATCTCTCCTTCAGATTCTCTGACAAACATTAATATCTGAGCTCAAACATTGCTTTCCCTTAAGGGACACATTTATAGGACTTTCAAACTCTTATAAATATTAGGTATTATTTTTAAATATATAACTATTTACACATGGGAGCATTTGAAAGATTTCTCTTGTGAATTTTCTCATGTCCACAGAAGGTGATTTTGATTTAAAACTTAACCAAATCATACAAAGGATAGAACAGTTAATGTGGCATAAAGAACAGACCGCTTCTCAAGTTGAATGCACTTAGGACAGGTTTGCATGTACTAATATTTTTAGAAATCCAAGTTAAGAATAAAAGCAGGTAAAAAGAATCTTCTATATTCGTCATATGAGCAAGCTCTTAAAAAAATCTAGTTAGCCGAAACCAGTTTGGCTCAATGGATAGAGTGTCGGCTTGGGGACTGAAAGGTCCCGGGTTCGATTCCGGTCCAGGGCATGTACCTTGGTTGCGGGCATATCCTCAGTAGGGGGTGTGCAAGAGGCAGCTGATCGATGACTCTCTCTCATCGATGTTTCTAACTCTCTATCTCTCTTCCTTCCTCTCTGTACAAAATCAATAAAATATATTTTAATTAAAAAAATCTAGTTAATTTACCATAATTTTCTTTTTTATTGTTGTTTTGTTTTTGTTAATCCTCACCCAAAGACATTTTTTCCATTGATTTTTTTTTTTTTTTTGAGAAAACGGGAGAGAGGGAGAGAGTGGAAGAGAGAGAAGCATCAATGTGAGAGAAACTACGTCAAATAGTTGCCTCACACACACACCCTGACCAGGACCTCGGATCAAACCTGCAACCCAGGTTTAAAAACTATCTTTTAAACTTATGTGATGATGATGATGATGATGATGCTTTTGTCTTTTTCCCCCCTGTTATTAGAGTTTTTATTTTCACAAAGAATGCTTTGTAGCAGGTATTAATCTGTTTTGCACATAAATGTGTCAACAACTTGGTGGCATTTTTGAAAGGTAGAACAAAGTGCTTGTAAATTGTAATTTTGCAATTACACTTGTGTACTTTGTGTACTTAAAATAAAAAGTGAGTTGTTGATAATGATCCAAAGCGTTGCAAGTGAATTCTTTTCTCTGTGCTAAAATCTGTTTTACCCAATAAAACAGGAAATGTTCTTCCCCAAACTTCAGCTATATCTTCATTCCCGTAAGGCTTCCTTTAGTGTCTCAGTACTCAGAAGACAAAGTGAATGTTCTTCATTCTATCTGTGCTCTTTTTCTGGAACTTGCCTATTCAACTATTCACTGTCTATCATATTCCTCCAATAGATCCTTTTCTATCATATCTTCAACTACTCTCTCCCTGCTGGGTCCCTTTCTATAGACTAGAAATAAGCTCATTCTTTCCATACTTTAAATGTCCACCCTTAACCTGGCATTACCTGTATTCCTCCACCTTTCAACCTTCCCATTCTCAGCTAGGCTTCTTGGGCCTCTTGGATTTATAGTCCAGACATTTCTGTTGTGGACATTTATCTCAGTGCCTGGGCTGTCCAGCATCAGAGTGGAAAATCCACCATTCTGTAAGGCCAAAACACTGGCAGTGAGGGCACGTTCTCATCCATCAGATACCCCCATTCAGGACACTGGCCCTGATGAGGACTGCACAGAGGAGCAGGGATGGCAGGGGTTTTTAGACTCATCAGTGGTAGCATCTAGGGGCCAGCACTGAGATGTGGAAATTATTAGCACAGAGACATTCAATGTCAGGTCTGACAGCAAGGACACCCTACTAGGCTACTCTTGGGACAACCTTAAGAAATAGTTCATCGTAAGTTATAAGTATTAACCACAGCCTGATAATCAGCACAAAAATGGATGATGTCCGTTAAGCATATATTTTTCCTTTTTGGTTTACATTAACTGTATTTTGTATATGTATTATTAACTACTTTTTTATTTTTATATATTAACTATTTTTTTATTTTTTTATTTTAAGTAATTTTTTTATTTTTATATATTAAGTCATTTGCTCTGAATCACCTCCTTCTCCTATCATTTTACATAAGGATGGTTGGTGGTGGTAACTTTACGAATTAGTATGTAGTTTACAGAATATTCAGTTAGGTGAGACTGTGTCTGAATGCAAGGAGAAATTAATATTGCCTAGATATCAGAACTGTAAACATTGCACAGAAATGGATATAACGACCACTGGCACATAGCAACTCCCTAGTTTGGTGTCTCCTTTTGTTTAAAATGTAGTTGCAACTTAGTAAGTGAAAGCATGAAGCGACAGGGAAGTCGTAGGTCCAGTGTATGTACAAAGGTGTGTGTGGCTGCCATGTAGCCAATGGGGTGAGCTGTGCTGCCAAAGCTTTTGTCTCTCATCTTCAATACCACCCTCTATACTCTTCTTTCCCATGCTGCAGCTGAACTTTGCACAGCTCCTGAATGCTGTTTAACCTCTACCTATACTGGGTGCTAGGACACTGTTTCCTAGTCATCACCCCAGCAAAGTCTCCTCACCTGGATAGCTGCAATTGATTTCAGTAACCAGGTCTTCCCCCCCCCCCCCCCCCCCCCGCCACACACACACACACATTCTCAGAACCAGCCATAACATGCCTCCTCAGAGACCCATCAGTATGGGCGGTCTAGCATCCCCTCCTCAGATATATGAGTTTCCTTTCTGCAGGGTCCTCCGTCAAGTGCCTGAGGAACCAGTACAGACTCCTCAGAAGTCAGTTCTTCAGGATCCTTCCCCCAAGTTTCGTTTGGTTCTGGCTACCTTCCTTTCCACTTCTTGAAACAGCTCTGGCCAAAGTTTCCATTACTTCCACATTGTCAAATCAATAGATATTATTCAGATCTTATTATACTGTTCTGTTATATCTGGCAAAATTGACCTCTCACTAGTCCAACCTTAAGACAATATTATTTCTTCGTCAATAACTTTTGCTTCGCCCAGCCTTCGCAACTCAGTGGTTGAGCCAGGAGGTCACGGTTCGATTCCCGTTCAGGGCACATGCTCGGGTTGCAGGCTCCATCCCCAGTAGGGGGCATGTAGGAGGCAGCCAAACAATGATTCTCTCTCATCATTGATGTTTCTATCTCGGTCTCTCTCTCCCTTCCTCTCTGAAAGCAATCAAAATAAGTTTTAAAAAATAATAATTTTGCCTCATCAATACATTTTGGATGGGTAAATTAACAAAAATTTTTTAGAAAGCATGTTAGCAATATTGATTCAACAAATAATTGATTCAACAAGCATTTGCATGACTATGTCAGTCAGTTAATTTCTAGAGTGAGGAATGCTGTCAAGCATAGCCAGTGCTTTGAATGTACATTTAGTAAGTGGTAGAGCCAGGTGATCCAACTCCAAAATATGTCTTAGTAACCTCTACACTAGGGATTTTCAAGCTTCAGTTTCATCAGAATAACTTAAGGGCTTGTTGAAACTTATACCAACAGGCCCCACTCTCAGAATTTCTGGCTCACTAGTTCTGGAGTGGCACTGGAATTTCAGTTTCTAAGAAGCTTCCAGGTAATGCTGATCTGCTTTTCAATACTACCTACTGACATTTTTTTCTTCTTCTTAGCTCTTCTTCAGCCCTGAAAACTCAACTCAGCTGGTCTCCTTCATTAGGCAGCCTTCCCATCTCTCTTCTCTCACCAGCTGTCTTAGATATCCTCACCAAGGCTCGCACCCTACTCTTGTGCTCCCACAGCTTCATGGGCAGGCCTGGGACACATCAGCAAGCACTAAAATTAAAACTCTCTGCACTTTTGTCCCAACCACTAGCCTGTGAAAAATAAATAGAAAAAAAATTCCCACCCTCCATTCAAATATCTAACACCTCTAAATTGAGCTCATATTTTTTTCAGAATATATGCCCATTCATATCTGCAATGTCTTGCCACCTGTATAAAGAGGAGAAAAGAGAAAAACTAATGGGGAAAAAAAAGTTGTATAAAAAATTCTATATAATAAAAAGATAATATGCAAATGGACCCTAACAGCAGAACGATTGGGAACAACCAGTCGCTATGATGCACACTGACCACCAGGGGGTAGATGCTCAATGCAGGAGCTGCCTACTGGTGGTCAGTGTGCTCCCACAGGAGGATCTCTGCTCAATCACAAGCCAGGCATGGTAGCCGGAGCCTCTTCTGCTTCCTTGACAGAACTAAGGATGTCTGTGGCTTAGGGCTGCTCCCTAAAGGGAGCGAGCCTAAGCTGCAGTCAGACATTCCTTGAGGGCTCTAGGACTGTGAGAGGGCACAGGCCAGGCTAAGGGACCCTCCTACCCTGAGTGCACAAATGTTCATGCACCAGACTTGTAGTCCTATCTAATAAAAGAGTGATATGCAAATTGACCATCACTTCAACACACAAGATAGCCACCCCCATGTGGTCAAAGATGGCTGCCCCCATTAGACACAAGATGGCCTGCAGGGGAGGGCAATTGTTGGTGATCAGGCCTGCAGGAGAGGGCAGTTAAAAGCAATCAGGCTGGCAGGGGAGCAGTTAGGGAGCTATTAGGCTGGCAGGCAGAATGGTTAGGGGCAATCAGGCAGCCAGGCAGGCAAATGGTTAGGAGCCAGCAGTCCCAGAAAATGAGAGGGATGTCCAAATGCCAGTTTAGGCCTGATTGCACCGGCAGTTGACATCCCCCAAGGGCTCCCAGATAGAAGAGGGTGCAGGTTGGGCTGAGGGACACTGTCCCCCTGCAGTACACGAATTTTGTGCACCAGGCCTCTAGTGTATATATATATATATATATATATATATATATATATATATATATATATATATATATAAACTGCCACCTAAAAACTTACATAGATATCAGAGGAAATGTATGGAATAAATAAGAGAGGTTTCACAATCCACTTCTATACATTTTTTAAAAAATGTGTCATAGAACTGTGCAAATTAATTTAGTTGGTACTTACAGAACATATAAAAGATGGACCTTAAGGTCATAATTCTTGAAAGAATTCTTAAATAATGGCTCTATATAACAGATGAGTAATTCCAAGTCCTCTTTCATCCAGCACTGTATGTTCCAGTTTGCACCTGAATTAAAAATAAACTACTTTAAATCTGAAAAACATTCTGAACAATTCACTACAAGAGAAGAGCTAAATTAAATTTACCAGTGTTCTGACACAACTCACACTGCCTGTTCTGAGAGAAAACAAAACAAAACAAAACGGGCTCTACCTAGTGGTATGTGTTTGCCAAAGTCATTCAGTGTCTTTGGCCTTTGATTTCCTTTTTTGTGTAAAAGAGAATTAAATTCAATTATTGCTTCTTAGACCTTTTTATCCTGAATCACTTACATAGAACAATCCTCAAAACAAAATCTTAATGGAGCTCAGTTTATGCTCACTTTCCAAGAGAAAAGAGAACATTAAATATCAAAGTACAAGCAAAGGTGGAGCAATATTTCTGTGTCTATTTTAACAATAAAAGCAAGGTGATTCACATTTGAACTATGATGCATGTCTTAAATTCTTGTTATCATAATATTACAGGCTCCAACTATAACTGATGAAAGTTTATTTCACAGCACACTGAAAAACTCAGCTGGTAATGTAAGATAAACTATAGGTGGCTTGTAATTTAGAAGCCAGAGTAGCAAAAAATAAATCCAATGATTATTTAGTAAGACAAAACTGAAACTATCTTAGGGCAACAGTAACATATTTCCCCAAACCTAAAAGATTTCTTGAGCCCCTCTTGGCAGAAAAATCAATGGAAATCCTCAGTAACCACCCCTTAAATTAATAATTTTAGTTTTAAAGACTTTAACTCACTCAGAAATAACTAGCTATTAGCCTTTACACAGTATATGAAATTAAAATCTACAGCATCGTAATCATTACTTTTATGTGAAGAAAATATTAACTCTTTTTTTAATAATTTCAAAGCTCATCCTAAGGACCCTGATTTCTTCCATTCATTCTTAATACATTTAATAATCACTAGAATGGCTAAGTTTCTTTACAGATTTTTTTAAGTGCTTCGTTTTAATAACAGTGCAGTGGAATAAAAAAAAATTTATAACAAAATTAAAAGACTATAGATTCAATTGGAGGCACTGCTAACTTGTTCTAAAACTGATTTTATTGCATGTGCATCCTTTATCCTTACTCCTAAACTGGTTTCCACGAACTGGAGTGTTTTTTCCATTGAATAAGTGGTGCTCCGCCAAGGCCATTTGGTCCTCCATGGGGCATCTGGCAAAACCTGGAGCTATGTTGTGATTGTCACAACTGGAGAGGGAGTGGTACAGGCATCTAGTGGGTAGAAGCCAGGGATACTGCTAAGCATCCTACAATGCACAAAACAGCCCCGCATAACCATTAGTTATCTGGCCCAAAATGTCAATAGTGTAGAAGCTGAGAAATCCTGATGAGTCCTAGATAGGAATGCTATACATATGTGTGCCTTTATTTTCATGCTGTAGGTCTCTCTATATTGCCACATCAAGTGACTCTGCTCTATTAGCTCTTCCAGCAGGCTTGGAAATAATTATGTTGTTTAGATCTCCAGATGCAGCATTATTAACTACACTAGCTACATTAGTAGGCATTAACCTCACACAACAAAAACTCCTTGATTTAAAAGATCTATCGGTTACAAAGCAATTCTTTGTTTGAACAAACATTATTACTCATAAATGCTTTAAAATGGAACTAATTTAACAATTGAATATTTTAAATATTTTATCTATTTAATAAATTAGGTGTGCCTTTTTCATTTTAAAGCACATATAGAAGACCACAAGAAATGTATTTATAGTTTTAAAAAAGTTCCTTCATTACATTTTTATCTTATTTTATGGGACATAAAAAAATTGGGGGCTTATTAGTTTAGTCACATGATGAATCCTAATTCTGTTGCTAATATAAAATTATAATATGTGTTAAGAATCCCATCCATAAGACATCAATTCCATGCAGTTTTCAGAAAATAAAAACATTTTGTTCAATACAGCTGAATAACAGCTAAATCTTGGAACATTAAAATACTTACCTATTTGTTGAAAAGCCAAAGAATTTACTGTTGAAACGAATGCCTTCCCTTCAATGTTGTCTGCCTGTACAGAGCAGTTTTCATTTTCCTCACTCCAAACGCAACAGTGGAAAGTTGTTTTGGATGTTAATTTAGAATAGTAGGTACCACTTGAATTAAATTTAGCTTCTAAAAGTGGCTCATAATATCCATCCAAATTTGAAGTGTTCTTTGAGATTCCAGCAGGCAAGAGAAAGTCGTAAGTTGTGTTTGGTGGCATGCAAAACAGCTTAAATCTCCAAGGAGTACTGGGATATGCCAAGTTAAATGCTGTTATCACGTAAATCAATTCTGTTTGGACATTAAAAACAAACATAAAAAATCATTTTAACTAAGACATAAATAGGAAGTATCTAAGATTAAACCATGCAGCGCTCAACAATAATTATTTAACTTTCCAAGTGCTCAATCAGTACCTAACACATGGCTCTGTACCTCTATTGTATAATGTGTTATACTTGAGACGTGCATTTATATGTAGAGGCAACTTCACTCTCTAGCACCCCTTTTTGGAAATTCATGCATCTACTTTCTCATTAGTATAAATTATATTTTAATGAATAGAAAGTTCAAATATTTCAATTTCCATTTTTAAAGAATATTCTAATGAACTACATCATAGATAACAAATATCTGAATGGACAATTACATAGATAAATATTGAAGTGCTGTTTTAATATTTCCTTTTTTAAATATATTTTTATTGATTTCAGAGAAAGGAAGAGAGAGAGAAAAAAGAGACAGATACATCAATGATGAGAATCACTGATTGGCTACCTCCTGCATGCCCTCTATTGGGGATCAAAGCCCGCAACTCAGGCATGTGCCCTGAGTTCATGGATCTATGCTCAACCACTGAACCTCGCCAGCCAAGCTGTTTTAATATTTCTTAAGGAGAATGACACCAAATGTTAATAGTATTTTCACTGAATCCTTTCATAAAGGGTTTGTCTTCAACATCAGGATACTTAGATGAACTGATCCTGCCCATTATCCTTCAGATATATGACATCATATGAGACATACCCTTAATGCACTCTCTAAGAATCGGTACACAATGACAAGACTTCTTAGAGGAATCTTCCATTGCTGATTAAAGACAATTATCACTTTTAAGATACATCAAAGTTAAGCACAATTATAAAAAAAAAATCCTGTACCAAAAATAATCCTCAAAAGTGATACTTGTTTTTAAATAATGAATTGTTTGAAAATAAAATATCAACTTTCTATAATTATTTCTTTTACAAGTTACCTAAATCCAACAGCTGTGTTACTTCATATACAGATTAATGCAGAATGAGAATTCTGAGAATCCTGCATGAATTTGTATGGAATAAATATTTTGAAAAATTAGGGTAAAATTTAAGAAAATATAAATTTTTAAAAATCAATTCACAATTATTTTAAATTATAAAAATAAGATATAAAAATATCCAAACAATATATAAATACTGACTGTTAACAGCTTAGTCTCTAAACCTTTCTATAAATATAAATTAATGCAAACATGTATCAGATGCAAAAATGAAGGCAAAACGGCATGACTAATATTATTTTGCACCGTGTTAATAATTAGCTACCATAACATCACTGAAAGTGGATCCTCATTGCAATAGTGTTCCTTTGTACTTCAATATTTCTAACACATATCTAAAATTATAATATCTCAATGAAAAGAGAATAACATTTCTTTGGTATTACAAAACCCATGAATATATAATAGTATTCATTAAAAGCATTATATTTTCTAGCTGCACATGAAGGATTCAGTTGGCTGAACTGAAGTTAGCCTAAATTCCTCAAAGAAGTATTTGAAATTTAAAATGTAATAATGAATGTCATAGACATAGCAGCTATTGAATCAGTTCAATTAAAAGATAATTCTATTTTTTTTTTTTGGCATGCTTCCTTTGAAAATGGTATTTCTTTCCATCCTAATGAACCCTAAACCTGCGAGGAGTCCAGAGAATGCATCTCAAAGCATGTTATCATGGTAACAATATCCCAGGGACTTTTCTGATTCACAGAACCTTATCACACTGCAAACCTTTGGGAAATTTAATGTGAAACATTCAAGTGGGACCTAACAAAATTAGGTAGAGATTATGAGGGAATTATCTAAGAAAGAATGAGTGTGCTGTTGCTTTTTGATAGTCTTTTGTGACATGGTTTGTCCTGAAATCTGTAACAGTTGAGTTATCCTGAGTATTTTCTGTAAATATATAGATGGCTACAATGAGAAAGAATAGTATGTACAACAAAGAAGTAGAGAAGCTAATAAGAGCACCTTTATATTGGAATGGCCAAATAGATGCTCACAACTAGTTGACACACAGGTAATGATTGCCAGATAAGATGGGCTTTATAAACGATAGCTTGACTTTAATTTTAAAAACTAAGAAATTAACCTAAATTAGATGAGTTTTTTTTTTAACATCAGAATAAAACTAGAATGCAGTGAGAAGCAAGTGAAAATATAATAGTATGTTCAAAAGTCATTGGCATTGTGTGACAAATCTCAAACAGAAGCCTGCTGTGCTTCAGGGCAGTTAAAAATCACAAGATAGTAAAAGAACATCTGTAAGCTTTCTCTTGAGGGTATTCCTGCAATGGATAGGAGAAAAACTAATATACATTTAATTTCTGAAGGCATTCTTCTGGTGGTATTCAGGATGGAAATTTCTAAGGTATATACCATCCCTTGATAATATCCCATTATAATATGATATTTGTTATTGTTTATCAGTTATTATGCAAAATAGAATTTCAAATTGCATCTCTATTCCATTGGAGAATAAACCCATCATTTTGTGTCATAGTCTTTTACTTTAAAGATTATTACCACATAAAGTGCTCCTTTATTTAGAGAATTAAAGTTTTACTGTCATCTGATATATATACATACACACTTGAGGCCTGGTACATGAAATTCGTGCATGGGTAGGGTCCCTAGGCTGGCTGGCAATCAGGGCCAATCTGTGGGGTGAACGGGGAGCCATCGCTGGCACCTGCCTTGGCTGGCCTGGGGTCTGTGGGCTGGGGGCAGCTCCTGCATTGAGTGTCTGTCCCCTGGTGGTCAGTGCACATCATAGTGATAGGTCATTCTGCTGTTTGGTTGATTTGCATTTTATATTTTTGTTATATAGGATATATATACATGTGTGTATATATGTGTGTATGTATGTATATGTATGTATGTATATGTTCCTATGTGTTCCTATGTATATATAAATTTTTGTGCTATAAAAGGAAATAAAGTTAAAAAGCAAATGATGGGCAAGGAGAAAATTGCAAAGCATAATAAAGTGTTTGGGCTATAATAATTAATGTTATGAGTCAATTTGTTGAGGCCTACAAGAGACTCAGACATTTGGCCAAACATTACTCTAGGTGTGTCCATGAGAATATTTCTGGATTAATTTAACACTTGAATCAGTAGACTGAGTAAAGCAGATTGGCCTACCTAATGCGGTGGGCCTCATCCAATAAGTTAGAGACTTGACAAGGACAAAATGGCTGAGTTAAAACTAACTCTTGCCCTAGCCAGTATGGTTCATTTGGTTGGGCATCATCCCATGCACCAAGGGATTGCTGGTTCAACTCCTGGTCAGGGCACATGCCCAGGTTGCAGGCTTGATCCCCAGTAGGGGTGTGCAGGAGACAGTGAATGAATGTTTCACTCTCACATCGATGTTTCTCTCTCTCTCTTTCTACCTTTCCCTTCCTCTCTGAAATAAAAACAAATGTGCACACTATTCAAAATAAACATCCTTCTTTAGGAATTAATCTACAAAAATATTCTCCCAAATACACAGATATATGTATATATATTTTAATGCAGCGTTGTTTACAGAAAATAAATTTCTATTAATGGGGAATTGGTCAAATAAGTTAATAATTTAAGGTAGATTTATACAGTTCATTGTCATGTTATCATTAAACAAATAATTACATCAGTAAATACCAAAAAAAATAAAAATAAAAAGGCATGGTAAATTGAAAAGCTGTTAAGTAGGGAAAAACAAACAAACAAAAAAACAGAACAGTCCCGCCAAGCCAATGTGACTCAGTGGTTGAGCATCAACTTATGAACCAAGAAGTCATGGTTCAACTCCTAATCAGGGAATATGCCTGGGTTGCAGGCTTGATCCCCAGTAGGGGTCATGCAGGAGGCAGCCAGGCAATGATTCTCTCTCATCATTGGTGTTTTGTTTTGTTTTTCTCTCTCTCTCTCTTCCTCTCTGAAATCAATAAAAATGTATTTTGAAAAAGCAAACAAGAGCATTATAGAGATCAATTCTATTTTTGCAGCTATAAATATGAAGTGTGTGTGTGGGGGGGGGTTATTTCTGGTAGAATATAAATTAGGTTCTTTCCAATAGTTGGGAATAGTGTTCATTTTCATTCTATTTGCAAAAGGATAAAAGGTTTTCATTCCCACACTTATACTTTCATCAAGTGAGCATGAGCATGAGAATTCCTACCTGGAAACAGAAAATTCTGTTAGCAAATATAGGAAAAAGTATTTCCAAGAGAAAAATCTCTACCTTACACATGGACATTTAATAACAAGTGCAAACAGGGCCCAGCCCATGTGGCTCAGTTGGCTGAGTGTTGTCCCATATACCAAGAGGTCTTTGGTTTGATTCTTGGTCAGAGCACATGCCCAGGTTGTGAACTCAATCCCCAGTAGAAGTATGCAAGAGGCAGCCAATCAATGTTTCTCTATCATTGATGTTTCTATCTCTTTTTCACTCTCTCTTTCTCTCTCTCTAAAATCAATAAAAACATTTATTTAAAAAAATAGTACAAATTTGTTGTTACAGTATAATCATCCTATATAATAAAAGCCTCATATGCTAAGTGTCTGGTATTCCATTCATCTATTCAACTAATCAAAACGTACTATGCTAATGATATACTAAGGCTGCTCAACTGCTATGGTGCACTGACCACCAGGGGGCAATCAACCAGTCGACAAGTCACTATGACATGTACTGACCATCAGGGGGCAGACGTTCCAACTGGTAGGTTAGCTTGCTGCTGGGGTCTGGCCCATTGGGACTGAGCAAGACAGGCTGGACACACCCTGGAGCCCTCCCACAGTACCTCCCTGGCTGGCCAACCTCCCATGTCCCTTTCTGGTCTTGATCATTCACTAGTGGGATCCCTCTGCCTGACCTGTATGCTCTTGTATTCCAGGACCCCTTAGGGGATGTCAGAGAACCAGTTTGGCCCCATCCTACAGGCCAGGCTGAGTGACCCCACTGGTGCATGAATTCATGCACTGGGCCTCTAGTGGGGATATATGGTTGTACTTTATATGCAAACAGACCAAACAAAGAAAAAATGGAACAACCAAACAACCAAACAACTGATCAATGGGTCGCTATGACATGCTCTGACCACCAGAGGGTGCATGTGGAACATGGTGGGCATTGGCTGTGGTGGAATGGTGGAGTAAGAGAGGAGGTTGACAGACCAAGGCATGGAGCTAGTCACTGTCATCAGGGTGAACCTCTAGTGGTTAGTGAAAATTCTTTGCTCTTGTGTGCCATGGTCCTGCCAGGTGCTCATACCTGCTGCCAGTGCTGGCCCCACTCGCACCACTGCTGGCACCAGAACTGCTGCTTGCACCCACTGCTGGCACCCAGCACCAGCCCAGCTCTTTTGGTGCCATCAGAGGGTGCAAGCAGTGGCTGCCAGCCCCAATCACCCTTTGGGGCTTCTCTACCTTTCCCTGCTCCTGAGGGGTGATTGGGGCAGCAGCTGCTGCTCACACCCACGGCTAGTGCTGGCCCCAATAGCTCCATGCCATCAGTAGGTACAAGCAGGGCTGGGGCCGGCTCCATCAGGACATGGGAGCTGCAGCAGACAAGGGACTGTGAGCCATGGCAAGAGTGGCCAAGGGTGGCGTGGAGGATGGGCCAAGACCTGCCCCTGTGCCCACTGCAGCCTCGCAGCCCACAGTTCCTTTCAAGGTGCACAAATATATACACTGAGCCCCCTAGTATAGTCATTAATATTCTAATAACTATGTATGGTGTCAGATGGGTGAAAGATTTATCAGGATAATTACTTAGTAAGTTAGGTAATGTCTGTATACATCTGAAACTAATATAATAATATATTTCAACTGTAATTAAAAAATAGAAATGATTTTTAAGTGGGAGGAAAAGATAAATAACTTACCCCACTGTAACAAAGCCATACAAAATTTTTGACAAGCCATCTTACTTCAGAGAAGAACACCTGAAAAACAGTTTTAATCATCAATAATACTCTGAATCAATATCAGGGAAGTGTTTCATATTAAAGGACAACTGTATTATAGATTTATTCCTGTGCACATGCTATCTTACATAGTCAAAATATGCCACATATTCTTATATGACATAATCAATTGGTTGCCCCTCACTGCTCTGACCAGGGTAGGGAATGGAGCCTGAAACTGAGGTATGTGCCCTTGATCAGAATTGAATCTGGAACCCTTCCATCTGTGGGGCTAATGTTCTAACCACTGAACCAAACCAGCCAGGGCCCAATTTTTTAAAATCTCAAATTGGGGATTCAGTTCACCACACACAAGTTAATACGAGGTGAAAAGCCCTGAGTTAGGTGTCAAAAGTCTTAGTTATCAATCTAGGCTATTTTACAAATTAGCTGTAGATAGGACTTGGGACTTCAACACTCTAGACCTCAGGTTCCTCATCTATAAATCAGATAGATGATCTCTCCAGTCACTCTCTGAACTTCCCAAAATTCTGGGTGATTTTATTTGAAAACAAAAATTACATCTTTACTACAAATAACATTTTAAAACATTAAATGAGATACATGCCTCATGAGTCATATCTGAGAATTGGTACATGTGATGAGCAAACAGAAAGACATGTTTGTTTAGTTTACAACTTAATAACTCTTGGGAAGAAAATAGATCTGTATGAACATTTTGTAATCTGGTAAATTTGTTTTCCAGACAATTCGTTTTTCATAAGAATTTGAATTATTTATACACTGACATTACAATATTTATTTAGGATTATTAAAAAAGGGTTCAGTTTGAAATCCTCATTATTAAATCCTATGAAATGTGTGCAAATTCTTTTTAGTTTTTTTAATGCTACCTGTTTTTGACACAAAATTTTTTCATTAAATAAACCCAAGGACAAGTTTCATAATCAGAATGTGTCATAGATAAACAAATCACTAGGTTAAGTGTTTCAAATGAACTGACTAGTGACTAATCATTCAGTTCAACAATTAATCTGACTCACTTTTAACTCAACTGATATTATCTGCTGAATTAAATGGCAAAGTAGATCAGTTGTTTTTCCTTACATAAGCCAGCCATTCTTTTATTTAATGTCCCATGAAAAACAAAAACTATTCATATGGCTTGAAATATTGCAGTCAGGTTTTGTTCTTATATAAAAAAGAAACAACCACAGGTATGAAAAGGACATAGTGTGAAAGGTGGTACATTTAATAGACTCTAAGACAGAAATATTTATATGCACCAGAAATTGTACCAGAAAAGAATATAACAAGGTATATAGAAAAAAATAACACAGAAAAAGAAGTGATAGAATTTTTAAACATGAGGAGGAAAATAATCAAGCAAAGGGGAAATTAATGGTAAAGTGACCAAAATAAATCTAATATAAAAATGCCATTAATTGGAATTCAATTCCTAAGGATGGCCTATTAATTTGCTTTAAGCTTTCTTATGGTTAAATTTCTCAACTGAAAATTCAGAGTACTTAAAATAAAATGAGAGCAACAGATTAGGGAAATGTAAAATAAACCTAACACTGAAAACAGAATACAATTTTGCCTAACTTTAACACTGCCTAACAGGTAACATTATAACAATGGCAGACTTTCATGGTAATTTAAAATTCAGTTTCTCACTATCTCCATTACCAGTAACCCATTCTAAGCTACCATTATCTCTTCCCTGGAAGATCGGAAGAGTCTCTTAATTGGTCTCCCTGCTGCTTGCTGCCCTTGCTCCCCAATTCAACATATTCTCCATGCAATAGTCAGAGTGGTCTTGTGAACACATAGGTCAGATCATGTCTCTCTTTCCCAAAGCACTGCATTACTCCCCTTTTCATTCACAGGAAATGTCTGAGTCCCAAACAGAACTACAAGGTCCTGGACCTCTGTTGTCTCACTGACCTCATAAACACTGCTCTCCTTTTTGCTCAAGTCACCTTCCCTGAGGAGCCTTCCCTGACCTATCTAATAAGACTTCAACTCCTTCCCCATCCCAATATGTCCTATCTGCTGTTCTGCTGAATTTTTTTCTCCTTATTACTTAATAGTAATATGAATATGATTTTTCTATTTTTCTTGTTTATTGTCTAACCCTCTTTACTAGAATGTAAACTCCACCAGATCAACAGTTTTTTTTTCACTATTTCCTTTTCATCATTATATCCTTCATACATAGAAGCCTGCCTCTATAGCAAGTGCTCAATATATTTTAACTGAATGAATGAGTGAATTAATGAATGGCAAGATGTTCCCGGAATGATTCTCCAAACTAAGCTGGTGGCATCACGCTAGCTTCAGCTCTTTCCATTGTTTCTTTTTTTAAAAATATATTTTATTGATTTTTTTACAGAAAGGAGGAGAGAGGGATAGAGAGCTAGAAACGTCGATGAGAGAGAAACATCGACCAGCTGCCTCTTGCACACCCCCTACCGGAGATGTGCCCATAACCAATGTACATGCCCTTGACTGGAATCAAACCTGGGACCTTTCAGTCCGTAGACCAACGCTCTACCACTGAGCCAAACCGGTTTTGGCTCCATTGTTTCTTAATAATGGAAATCTCAACTTCTGACCTGATGTTCTGGAATCCAGAGAGCAAGGTCACCATTGTATTTATAGGTGTTTCTGCTTGCTCCAAAGAAAGTTCCTGTACACATCATCACTTTAGAAATACCATAGAGGTGCCTGCCCAGAGCAGCCTGAGCCCTAGCCCCAGGCCTCAGCTGGCCCAAGTAAGCCCTGAGATAGTTCTTCATAATGTTTTCTTAAAATCCTTTGTTTTTCTGTGGTGTCAGTTATTCTCCTTCACTTCTGATTTTGAGTCCTTTCCCTCTTTTTCCCCCTTGAGTTTAGTTAAAGGTTGTCAATCTTTTTTATCTTTCAAAGAACTAGCTCTTTGTTTTGCTAATCTTTTGTATTTTTTTAGACTATGTAATTTATGTCTGCTCTAATCTTTATTATAATATTTCCTCCTATTACTTTAGGTTTGTTTATTGTTCTTTTTCTAGTTCCATTTTGGTGTAAGGTTAGATTGTTTATTTGAAATTTTCCTTGTTTCTTCAAGTAGGCCTACCATGCTGTGAATTTCCCTCAGAGGACTGCTTTTGCTGTGTCCCATAAATTTGGGATTGTTGTGTGTTCATTTCCATTTCTCTCAAGATAACTTTTGATTTCTTCTTGATTTCATTGTTGACCCATTTATTGTTTAGTAATGTTATTCAGCCACCATGTGTTTGTGTGCTTTCAGTTTTTTTCTTGTGATTGATTTATAGTTTTATACTAATGTCATCAGAGAAGGTACTTGATATAATTTAATCTTATTGAATGTATTAAGACATGGTTTTTGTTCTAACATGTGGGTATATCCTAGAGAATGCTCCATGTACACTTGAAAAGAATGTATGTTCTACTGCTTTGGGGTACAATGTTCTGAAGACAGCAATTAAACTCACCTGTCTCATGTGTCATATGAGGCCACTGTTTCCTTATTGATATTTTGTCTTGAAGATCTAACCATTGATGAAAATGGTGTGTTGAAATCCCCTACTAAGACTGTATTATTGTCAATCTCTATCTTTATATTCACCAAGATTTGCTTTATATATTTAGGTGCTCTTATGTTAGGTGCTTATAGTTTACAAGGGTTAAATCCTCTTGTTGAATTTATCCCTTTTGCATTATATAATGTCCTTTTTTTGTCTCCTGATATGGCCTTTGTTTTGAAGTCTATTTTGTCTGATAAAAGTATTGCTATTCCAGCTTTTTATTTGTTTTCTTTTGTATAAAATATATTTGTCCAGCCTGGCCATGAGCATTGACCTATGAACCAAGAAGTCACAGTTCAATTCCCAGTCAGGGCACATGACCAAGTTGAGGGCTTGATCCCCAATGGGAGGGATGCAGAAGGCAGCCAATCAATGATTCTCTCTCATCATTGATGTTTCTATGTTTCTCTCCCTTCCTCTCTGAAATCAATATATATATATATATATATATATATATATATATATATATATATATATATATATTAAAAACATATGTGTGTGTATTTCACCCATTCCTTTACTGTAAATCTGTATGTATCTTTCTTTTTAAAAAATATATATTTTATTGATTTTTTTACAGACTGGAATTGAGAGGGATAGAGAGAAACATCCATGAGAGAGAAACATTGATCAGCTGCTTCCTGCACATCTTCTACTAGGGATGTGCCCACAACCAAGGTGTGTGCCCTTGACCAGAATTGAATCTGGGACCCTTCAGTTCACAGGCTTGATGCTCTATTTACTGAGCCAAACCAGTTTCGATCTGTGTATATCTTTCATTCTGAGGTGGGTCTCTTGTAGATAGCATATATTTGGGTCATGTGTTCTTACCCATTCAGCTATCCATTCTTTTCACTGGAACACTTAATTAATTTAGATTTAAAGTAAGTGTTGATAGGTACTAACTTATTGCCATCGTATTCTTTTTTAAAAAATATATTTTATTGATTTTTTACAGAGAGGAAGGGAGAGAGATAGAGTTAGAAACATTAATCAGCTGCCTCCTGCACACCTCCCACTGGGGATGTGCTCAAAACCTAGGTAAATGTCCTTGACCGGAATGGAACCTGGGACCTTTCAGTCTCCAGGCCAACGCTCTATCCACTGAGCCACTGAGCCAAACTGGTTAGGGCCATAATATTCTTTATATCTTTGTTCTTCTCCTCCTCCTCTTCTTCTTCTTCTTCTTTCTTCTTCTTCTTCTAGGCTTCTATTTCGTCTTCTCGTCCATATTTGTTCGTTCTCCGTTCTTCGTCTAGCTTTTCGTTCTTGCTTTCTTTTTGTCTTCTTTCTTCTTCTCCTCTCCTCCTCCTCCTCCTCCTCTCATCTCTCCTCCTCTTCTTCTTCTTTTCTCTCTCTCTTCCTCCTCCTCCTCCTCCTCCTCCTCCTCCTCCTCCTCCTCCTCCTCCTCCTCCTTCTTCTTCT